ATTCTGGGAGTTTGTGGCTTCTGGGGCTTTGTACGGCTGCCAAGCGCCACCCTGCACTTTGTTCGAAGGCTTCGAAGAGAAAAGATGCAAGCGAGAAGGAAACCCTAAACCCTAAACCCTAAACCCTAAACTCGAGTATACTCTGCTGAATACACAAAGCTCCCTTTCGTAGAGAGGACGAGTCTCTACTCCTATTGTCCCAAAGACAAGAGGTGAGTGCTCACTGAAAAAACCGTACCTAGGCTGTGGGGCGGGGGTGGTCCTCGTTTTGGGGCTCTGGGGCGGGGGTGGTCCTCGTCTGGGGGCTCTGGGGACTGCCACCCCAAACCCCAAACCCTAAACCCTTTCTTTGGACCACGAGGGGAGCACGGGATGGTTGAAGCCCCCTGCAACAGTAGCCTGAACCCTTCAAGCCCTTCAAGCCCTTTAAGCCCTTTAAGCCCTAAAGCCCTAAAGCCCTAAAGCCCTAAAGCCCTAAAGCCCTAAAGCCCTAAAGCCCTAAAGCCCTAAAGCCCTAAAGCCCTAAAGCCCTAAACCCTAAACTCCTCACCCCAACTTCAATTCACCTCAAGCCCATCTCCCTGGGGAGGCTCTCCCCCCTAAGCCTTGCAACCCCTGCCCTAAACCCTAAACCCTAAACCCTAAACCCCACACCCCAAACCCTAAACCCTAAACCCCGTCTCGAAGTCTCGACGAGAAGCCGGGCCCAGATGTCCAGGGCTGTCTCAATGGCAGAGATCGCCACGATGATGAAGTCAAAGATATTCCACCACGCCTGCACCCTAAACCCTAAACCCTCAACCCTAAACCCCAAACCCTAAACCCTAAACCCCCAACCCGAAACCCTAAACCCTAAACCCTGAACTGCGGGTGCCTTATCAGGGAGTCGGGGCTCGGGCTCCGTTTCCCTTTGCCCCTTGTTGTAGGTACTTTCTCAGGGTTTAGGGTTTAGGGTTAAGGGTTTAGGGTTCAGGGTTTAGGTTTTTGTTTTTTAGGGTTTAGGGTTTAGGGTTTAGGGCACGAACTTTGGTGACCCCATGAAGCCTAAACCTACATCCGGAACCGAAAGCCCAAAACCTCTCATAAAGCCCCCGGCCCCCCAAACTGCCCCAAATCGTAGATGCTCAACCCCTGAACACGTAAAACCCTAAAATGTGAAGCCCCAAAGCCCTAAACTCCTAAACCCAGAACTCCCTAACCTGCAACCCAAAAGCCTGAAACCCCTAAACCCTAAACCCTAATCTCCCAAACCCAAGCACTTTTTGGGCCTGCGGGCCACGCCAAAAGCCTCTACAGCCATAGGCTATAAACTTGAGGACGATCTCCAAGACCTGGGCTTCAGACTTAGCGTTTAGGGTTTAGGGTTTAGGGTTTAGGGTTTAGGGTTTAGGGTTTAGGGTTTAGGGTTTAGGGTTTAGGGTTTAGGGTTTAGGGTTTAGGGTTTAGGGTTTAGGGTTTACTTTTTAGGGTTTAGGGTTTAGGGTTGAGGGTTAGGGTTTAAGGTTTAGGGTTTAGGGTTTAGAGTTTAGGGTTTAGGGTTTAGGCTTTGGGGTTTAGGGTTTAGGGTGTGCGGGGTTTAGGCCTTTGGTTTGGGGTTTTAGGGATGGGCGAAGAGGCTCATACACTGAACCCGGAAGCCCCTAAACCAAAAGGAAATCTAGGGGTTGTACCTTGGGACTTTTAAGGTTATACCCTTGGGTGTTGGGGACCCATTTTTCAAAATCCTTGAGGTACCAGAAGCGCCATCTTCAAAGTATATATTAAGGGAAAAAATTTAGGGGTACAAGCTTAGGGGCACTAGTCTTAATAACTCCTGAGCGCTCAACCCTTGCCGAAGCCCCGAAACTCTCAACCCTCAACCCCTTAACCTTAACCCCAAACCACCAAAACAACCCTGAACCCTACTAACCCTCAACCCTCAACCCCAAAACCCTGAAAACCCTAAACCCGAAAAACCCTAAACCCTGAACGCCCACAAAAGAGACCTGAAGCTGAAGCAGGGGGGCAAAGACGCAGACGATGAAGGCGTTGAGCATGCCGAGCCAGGGGGGGATGTCGGCCTTCACAAAAGAGGGTTTAGGGTTTGGGTTTTCGGGTGCAGGGTGTAGGGTGTAGGGTTTAGGGTTTAGGGTTTAGGGTTTAGGGTTTAGGAAGATGCGTTTAGGATTTAGGGTGCGGGTTTTAGGATTTGGAGTTTCGGGTGCAAGGGCTTTTGGTTTAGGGTTTGGGGTTTAGGGTTTGGGGTCTCGGGTTATGGGGCTAAAGTGGTAAAGGAACCCTAAACTTCAGCATCCTGCCATTAAGCATTGCTACTCTTAGCAACCCGTGCTTCTTAGAACCCCCCCCCAAGACCCTAAACCTTAGGGTTGAGGCTTTGAGGTGCGGTTTAGGGCTTTAAGGCCTTGAGGCTTCGAGGCTTTGAGGCTTTAAGGCCTTGAGGCCTTGAGGCTTTGAGGCTTTGAGGCTTTGAGGCTTTGAGGCTTTGAGGCCTTTAAGGTTTAGGGCTTAGGGCTTAGGGCTTGGGGCTTAGGGCCTCCCCGAGTGAGGATGACAGGTCAATCTCCACTCCGAGCAGAATTGCCTTGGCTTGACAGAGGTTACTAAAGGGATGCTCCCCCCTTATATACGCAGCCCTTTAGAGGGACGGCTTAGGGCTTAGGCCGAAAATGGGGGTGTTTAGGGCTTTGGGCTTAGAGGGGCTTGAGGGGTCCTGCTTCCTTCTTGCTTTTTCCCTTTTTTGCTTTTGGGGGGGCGTGTTCAGGATTTAGGGCTGGAGCTTTGGGTCTGAAGGGGTTCAGTGCGCCTGTTTTGCCCCGGGAGGGCTTAGGGACCAAAAAAGGCTTGAACCCAACTGTCCTCGCAGGCCAATATGAAGACATCCGATAAATCAAACGCTGCTTCAAGCGCAACATCCTGCAATAACAAAAGAAAAACTCCGTCCGCACCCGGACGGAGAGCCGAAAGCCTAAGCACCTAAACCCCTCGATCCTGATCCTGAACCCCAAAACCCCGAACCCACCCAATCCCCAGCCACCCACGCCCACCCACACCCACTCTCACCAGCACTCCCACACTCCTTCAGGCAGGACGTTCCTATGGTGGGCGAGGATTTAAGTCACATGTGAAAGCTGACAAATGTTTTAGACTACAGGCAGGTACATTACACGGGTTGAAGTCCTCGCTGACCGGGACCCTCTCCGCACCCTCCCCACCCTCCCGATCTATGCTTCAAGGATGCATGTTGGCTGATCTCAAGGGATGTGACAGCCGATGCTTGTGACAACGAGCTGTACACACATGCACAACCCCCGGGCGCTAAACCCCGAAGCCCTGAAAACTTAATAAGCCCCCAACCTTTGAATCCGAAACCCGAAACTCTGAAACCACCGCACGCTGAGACGCCCAAAACCCTAAACCCCGGGCCCTCCAACCCTAAACCCCCAAGCCCCAAACTACATTTCTCAGGCCGCCTAAACCCCTAAAAACCCCAAACGCCCTAAACCCAGAAAACCCTAAACCCTAAACCCTAGACCCTAAAGCCCTCACGCCTGAAACCCACCATTCCGGAGCCCGGCCGCATTCACCAAGATCAGGCTGAAGATGAGTATGCTGAAGCTGGTGGCCTGGCCCAAGTCAGTCATAGGTTTAGGGTTTAGGGTTTAGGGTTTAGGGTTTAGGGTTTAGGGTTTAGGGTTTCGGGTTTAGGGTTTAGGGTTTAGGGTTTAGGGTTTAGGGTTTAGGGTTTAGGGTTTAGGGTTTAGGGTTTAGGGTTTAGGGTTTAGGGTTTAGGGTTTAGGGTTTGGGGTTTGGGGTTTAGGGTTTAGGGTTTCGGGCTTGGGGTTTGGGGTTTGGGGTTTGGGGTTTGGGGTTTGGGGTTTAGGAGGGGTGCAGTGCGAAACACGGTCAATCCAGAACACAAGCCAGAATAGGTGGTGGCCTCAAGGCACGTACGGCTGGCGGCCACATGTTTTGCCCCCCCCCCCCCCCCCCCCTCCTTCGCTCCATCCCGTGGTCGCCCAGTAACCATCTTATGATAAGGGCACCCTTTTTCGGGGTTGGCTATTTTAAAAGGGAAGCCAGAACCCAAAAAAAGGGTAAAGGGTACCATTGGGCTGCCAAGATCCCCACTCCAACCCAAGGCACCTAGTTTCACCTTTCGATGTTGCTGGGGGTGCATTATTGGGTTTAGGGTTTAGGGTTTAGGGTTGAGGGTTGAGGGTTGAGGGTTTAGGGTTTAGGGTTTAGGGTTTAGGGCTTAGGGCTTAGGGTTTAGGGTTTAGGGAAGGCCCACACCTGAACACACTCTAAACCTTACACCCCAACCCAAAACCACAAACCCTAAACCCTAAACGCCAACCCTTCAATCCTAAACCCCAGCTGCCTCCCTTCTGTATGCAGGCCCTGCTGACCGAAACTCCAAACCGCCCCAAAGCCTAAACTCTCCGCGGTCGCCATCCCCCTCTCCCCATTTGGTGAGTTTCATGGGAAGTTGTCATGAGGGTTTTTTAGTTATAAGGCATAATTGAGTCGCCCCTCGTCCCCCCCCCCCCGTCTGAGAGAAGACGCAAACAGCTGAGTAGGCTTGGGGTTAGCACACAACTGTTGCCCTATGAAATGTCTAAGCACCTTTGCTAGCTAGTACAGCTTTCGGTTCCAGGCACAGAACCGGGAGCAGTTTCTTGAGATTGGTGCTTTGGCCCGAAGGTATCAAGACAAACCAGGCCCAAGAGAAAAATTCGCGAAACAGGTGGTGTGAGCATATTCTCGAAAAACGGTGTAAGATGCACCGCCCTCGAGAATCGCGCTCGTGCGGAATTTCAGATTTCTACCCCTGAACGTGGTGAAGCTCAAATTTCGCTGCGCATGTTTACTCCACGGCGGAGTCACTGCAGAAGGTGCAGCTTAGGGACTGTCTTCGAGCCTGATGAACCCAAGTTGTGCGTATCACTAGCCCCCTAAATTCTGAAACTTCACCCCGCAACCCTGTAGATTGGTGTCATATGTCCAAGTAGGCCTGGCTTTACCACATGGCATAGGTTTTAGGAGGGGAGGTATCATATATGTATATATTTATAACCTTACAAAAGAAAAACCACGGCGACCTCGACCAGAGATTTGGTGAAGGCTTTTACCTTATCCGATACGAGACAAAGGGAGCTTCGGGGTTAAGGTTTGTGGGGGGTGTCGGGCTCAGGGCACCCGAAAGCCTAAAGCGTATCCCCAAGGTTCAAAGTTTAAGGTGCTACGGGTGTACTACTTAGGGGAGCTAGGGGTTGGAGTTGGGGTTGTGGAGGGTAGGTGGGGGGGGGGTGTTAGGGCTTAAATTGGCCGGGTTGATCGTTTAGTATAGGGGCTCGAGGATCAAGTTGTAGCTTTGCAGATTTGTGTGTTTCCCTTGGGGGGCTGATGGGCAGATGGAGGGTGTGGGGTCTGGGGATTAAGGTTTGGGACTCAATGAAACTCGAACCCCACGCCCCCCACAATCTGATACTACGGTGGAGGCCTTAATGATACGAACCGGATTTTTGGGCACCATAGGGGAATGATACGAGTATCGCGTTCAGGGTGCGGGACCTCCACCAGACTAGCATGCCCTCATGCGTGCCCCGATACAATAGAGCTGAAATAAGGGTCTCGGGGTTTCGGCTTTAAATCTGGGGTTTAGGCTTTACGTAGGGTTTCGGGCTACTGTACTTCTTCAGCCGTCTCTCGAACCCCCGCAGGGTTTATTGTTTAGGGTTTAGGGTCCCTCAGCCCCTCAACGCCTAAGCCACTGAACCCCCTACCCCAAAACCCCAAACCCTAACCCTAAACCCTGAACCAACAAACTCTGAACCCTAAACCCTCAACCCTAAACCCCTAAACCCCCTTAAACCCCCAAAAAGCCCTTAAACCCTAAACCCCCTGAACCCCTATACAAGCTTAAACCCCTAAGCCCCCAAAAGCCCTGAAGCTCTCCGTGCGAGCCCCGCGGCCCCGTGCCACCCTCGCCCGGTCGCCGAAGCCTTCTGGCGCGCCGCCGCCTCCTGGCAAGCACGGGCCTAGGGTTGAACCCAAATTTAGGGTTTAGGGTTTAGGGTTTAGGGTTTAGGGTTTAGGGTTTAGGGTTTAGGGCTGAGGGTTCGGATTGAGGTACCCATGCCCTTACCCCTGCACCGACAGCCACGAAGCTGAGGCCAACACTTCCGCGACCCCAAACCCGAAATCCTAAACGGAAAACCCTAAACCCTAAACCCTAAACCCCAAACCCCAAACCCTAAACCCTAAACCCCAAACCCTAAACCCTAAACCCCAAGTAGAGGTCACAAACACCCCTAAGCCTCAAGCCCTTCAACCCTGAACACATCCCAACTCGCGCCCTCAGGTCCGTATTTGCCCCCTTCTACTCTGAAGCCCAAGGGCCCACCATATTCAGGGGCCAAGTAGCTTCCATCACCAAGATTCACAAAGATTGAGCCCCCAAATTTAGGATTTTAGAGCTGAGGGTTCTCTGTTTGGGGTGTAGGGTTTAGAGTTTAGGGCCCAGGGTTTAAGATGGCTTCAGGGTCCGGGTGTTCCCTTGGAAGCTCCCCGACAATGATTCCAGAGGCTTTTTTTGTCAGAAGACGCCAGGAAACCCTAAACCCTAAACCCTAAACCCTAAACCCTAAACCCTAAACCCTAAACCCCAAACCCTAAACCCTAGACCCTAGACCCTAAACCCTAAACCCTAAACCCTAAACCCTAAACCCTAAACCCTAAACGCCCGCCTTGAGCTCAATGTGGCGCATCCTTGCCAACGGCTCAGAGAGAATGAAAAGAACACCGGGTCGAAAGGGTTTAGGGTTTAGGGTTTAGGGTTTCGGGTTTCGGGTTTCGGGTTTCGAGCTTAGGGTTTCGGCTTGGATACGCTCGAGACCTAAAACCCGAAAGCCCCCAAGCCCGCACGGTTTTGCGGTCCAGGTCTTGGGAACCTAGGCCCTGAAGCCTCGTTTCCATGTAGAAGATCGGGGGGGGGGGGGGGCCTTAGGAAAGAGCTACAGAGAGGACTTCAAAGGAACAGGCCTAAACAACCCTACCCATGGGGTTCGTAGGGTTTCTTTCTGGGTATTTGAGGCGAATTTTTACAGGCTTGTAGGGTTTGGGGTCTTGGGGTCTTGGGGCTTAGGGCTTTTGAGGGTTTAGGGTTTAGGGTTTAGGGTTTAGGGTTTAGGGTTTAGGGTTTAGGATTTAGGGTTTAGGGTTTCGGGTTTAGGGCTTAGGGTTTAGGGTTTAGGGCTTAGGGCTTAGGGTTTAGGGTAACTCTCGGTGCCGCCCAGTAGCAGGGTGGCCACCGAGGCGCGGGCTCTCCGCCTGAGCAGCCGAGGGTCTTGCCGGGATCCCCTCACCTGGAAGTAAGGGCTTAGGGTTTGGGGTTTAGGGTTTAGGGTCTAGGGTTTAGGGTATAGGGTTTGGGGTTTGGGGTTGGGGTTTGGGGTTTGGGGTTTTAGGTTTGGGGTTTAGGGTTTGGGGTTTGGGGTTTAGGGTTTGGGGTTTAAGGTTTAGGGTTTGGGGTGTGCCAAGTCTGACGTGCGGCTGCTTGCTGCCCTCCCGACTCTCCCGACGTTTGTCGTGTAGTCAATTTTCTTTAATTCTCTCTCATATAAATACACGGAATTACAATCACAAGCAAGACGACCCGCACGTCAGATGTTCGGATTAGCTCTACGTCGCGCGGAGGTGAAGCTGTAGCCGAAGGATTGCGCGCAGACGGCAGGCTTCCAAAGACCAAAATAAAGTAAAACAAATAATTAATAAATAAATAAATACATAAGTAAATAAATATATAACGAATAAATATCCAAAAATCAATGATGAGATTATGGGGTCCAGATTATGCGCGAGAGACTATTTTCGGAGCAGAGACGGGGTCCAGGTGTTCCATGAAACTACCTCGCTGCCGCCAGAAGAACAGAACGTCCGCTTCCTGGAGAGGTCCGGAGAAACCCGAGCATAGAGACGGGTTCACGTTTCACGCGAAACCACCTGGCTGCCGCCAGAATAGCAGGCCGGATGTTGAGGAGATTGTGGGGGTCTAGGTTCTTGCTGTCGGAGCAGGGTCCAGATCGAACGAGCGCTTCCTTTCGAAAACAGAGACAGGCGGGTTTTGGCCCCCTTGGAAGCCCCCTGAAAGGCTTAGAAGCTTGAAAGGTTCTTTAAACAGGCTTTGGAAGCTGTAACAAGGGATCGGCCTCTTTTGACCTAATCCTGGCGGAATGAGGTTTAAGTTTGCAGGTCTCTTCTTTATTTTGCCGTCATTGGGAGGCTGCCTAAGGTGAGAGGCTGCAGAAGCTTCAGAGGTGTGTCTCTTGTCATGGGCTTCCTGGAGGGACTGTAGGGTGGCACCGACGTGACTGCTCCTGATCGTTGCGCGGCCGCTTCGCGACTAGGTCGCGCTCGCGGCCAAGACTTTGGGGTTTCGGGTTTAGGGCGCACGGTTTGGGGTTTGGCGCTTCCTCTGACCTGGGGCTTATATAGCACCCTAAAGCCCTAAACCTTTTTGCACTGAAGGGTGTATTCGGGCCTCGGATTTAGAGATTGGGGGTTTTAATTAGCGTTAGGGATTGGAGTTAGGGCCGGGGTCGGAGATTTTGGGGTCCGCCCCGAATCTGGAACCCTCCCCCTCCCCTCCCTCACACCCCGGAGGGTCAGGGCTCGCCAGTGCTGTAAGGGCCAAGCCCTCAAACCCCAAAACCCAAACCCCAAACCCCAAACCCTAAACCCTACACCCCCAAACTAAAACAACGCAATCCCGTCCCCCGGGCATGCGGCTGAGGGGCGCTCCCCTCGTCCTCCAGGGACTCCGACGCCTAAGCTCTGTGGGGTTCAGGGCTGTGGGGTTTAGGGTTTAGGGTTTAGGCTTTAGGGTTTAGGGTTTAAGGTTTAGGGTTTAGGGTTTGGGGTTTGGGGTTTGGGGTTTGGGGTTTAGGGTTTATAGGGCTTAGGGTTCCGCAGCCCAAGACCCTAAACCGCAACCTTAAAGCCGGTTTAGGGGTTGGATAGCTTGAAAGTTTAGGGACTGGGACTCTGGGAGTTTAGGGTTTCAAGCCTCGGGCTTGTAAGTGCTTAGGGGTCTGGGAGCTTGAAGCTTAGGGCTTGGGATGTTCCCCCTTATACTAAGGGTTTAGGATTTAGGATTTAGGATTTAGGGTTTAGGGTTTAGGGTTTAGGGTTTAGGGTTTAGGGTTTAGGGTTTAGGGTTTAGGGTTTAGGGTTTAGGGTTTAGGGTTTAGGGTTTAGGGTTTAGGGTTTAGGGACCGTCCATAGTAAGGATCATAATAGGGGGCACTTTCAACCCCATTATAAGGACCATTCGTATCATGGGGGAACATCCACAACTTAGTGCTTTCGAAACGCCTGCAAGTCTAAGCCTTGAACCCTCAACGAGTCGCACATCGTGGGCGCGTTTAGGGTTTAGAGTTTAGGGTTTAGGGTTTAGGGTTTAGGGTTTAGGGTTTAGGGGTTAGGGGTTAGGGTTTAGGGTTTAGGGTTTAGGGCTTAGGGTGTCGTCTCGGGTTTGTTGACAAGCTCCTTGGCGTACTCCTCCGTGTCAATGTTGCCCGCTCTGTACGGAGGTTACGCCAGCGTTTGCACTGAGGGTTGAGGGTTGAGGGTTGAGGGTTTAGGGTTTAGGGTTTAGGGTTTAGGGTGATCCTGGTCCCTGAACCTCTGACACGTCCTAGTCCCCAGAAACCCTACACCCTTAGCCACCCCCAAAGCCCCAAACCAAACCCTAAAACCGAGCCCTGCACGCCAAAACCCAAAATCCCACCTAAACCCTGAGCCCTAAACCCTAAACCCTCAAACCTCAACCCTAAACCCTAAACACTAAACCCTAAACCCCAGACCCCCAGACCCCCAAACCCCCAAACCCCCAAACCCAGGCCCTCGTTCGATGGCTCGGGGCATCTTCGGACGGCTCCACACCGAAGTCGGCCTCCTGCACGACGCCCGTCGCCTGCTTCTCTTTCTCTGGGGCTTC